GTGTGTGTGTGTGTGTGTGTATATATATATATATATATATATATATATGTATGTATGTGTGTGTGTATCTAAGTGTTGAATTAATCAGTACATTTTGTTTCATTTTTCATGTACTTCTGGATTTTATGACAAGTTGATTGTGAGTAACATGCTTCAGAGATCTTTTTTCCCCACCTCCAGTGCACAGCAAAGACAATTTGCACCAGTTTGCAATATTTGAGAAAAGCAGGGAAAAAATGCCAACTTGTGAAATCTTCAATCAGTGCAGCTACATTATTTCAGTCAATCCCTCAAGATTGAGATAATCATGTTTGAGTAGCAAATTCCACCTTTTTGCATTTCAAATGCACAGTGACTTTGCTTGGTCTTGTCTTTTTTTTTTTTTTCTTAGAATAATTTTTGTCTTCACTACATTTCAGGTGGTACACCTAAGTGTTATAACGGCAGTGTTGAGAACCAAACAATCAACTGTGTCAGTGTGAACTGCACAGGTACGTACTGTCCTACTATCTCAAGCTCCTTTTTATAATAGCTGAAAAAGAGTTTGGCTGTAGCATTCATTAACTGCCAAAAATAAGCAATTGGGTCGTTAGCTATAAATGTTCTGTGGTATGACCAATTGTATGTTGGGGTGATGTGAGTTTAATCTGTGCATTTTCTCTGTACTGCAGAGCCAACACTGACCCCGCCAGTGAGCCCCACCACCACAAATGCTACCATTAATGGTACAGCCATCCAGACTCATCTCATTTGCATTCATTCACATCTTGAAACGCATACCTATTTAATTTAAAGCCCAATGCGAAAGTCAGTCCAATGTCAATTTTATTTAAGTTACACCAATATTAAAAACTTTATATTGTTTGACCATAAAATATAAATAAAGAGCCATAAAATACATGGAATTACAAATAACAATAATAAATAGAAAAAATAAACACTAAAATCATATAACAATTCTTTTAATTAAAAAGGTACATTTAATAAAGATTAAGGTTATTCTTAATCATTTAGGCCACTTACACACTATGAAATAAGTTATGATACCGGTGTTACCTGCTAATAGATATAAAAAATAATAGTAAAAAAGCAGATACATCAAGTCTTACAGCGTGCTCTGTTATGAACTTATTACAGTTACTATATATATATATCAGTTTTTTTTTTTGCATATTTGTCACATGTAAAAGATTCAGATCATCAAACAAATTTTATTATTACACAAAGATAATGCAAGTAAATACAAAATGCAGTTTTTAAATGATGATTTCATTTATTAAGGGAAAAAAGCTTTCCAAACCTACTTGGCCCTACGTGAAAAATTAATTGCCCCCTCCTGTTAAATAATGAAAGCAATTAACCACATTATTTTAGAAAGCTGAGTTAAATTTCACTAGCCACACCCAGGCCTGATTACTGCCAGACATGTTGAATCAAGAAATCACTTAAATAGAACCTGTCTGACAAAGTGAAGCATGCTTAAAGAGCAACACATCATGCCGCGATCTAAAGAAATTCAAGAACAGATGAGAATCAAAACAGTTGACATGTGTCAGTCTGGAAAGGATTGTAAAGCCGTTTCTAAGGCTTTGGGACTCCAGCGAACCATGGTCAGAGCCATTATCCACAAATTGAGAAAACTTGGAACAATGGTGAACCTTCCCAGGAGTTGCCGGCCAACCAAAATTACTCCAAGAGCACATAAAAGAATAAAAGAACCCAGAACAACATCTAAAGAACTGCAGACCTCACTTGCCTCAGTTAAGGTCAGTGTTCATGACTCCACCATAAGAAAGAGACTGGGCAAAAATGGCATCCATGGGAGAGTTC